AGGATTGAAATAGCAAGCAAGCTATTCCGATCCTTAAATGTGCGTGGTATAAAAGATCGATCGATGATTCGAAATGATAGGCACTCAATATAGGGCCCATCATGTTAACTAAAAATCACGTGTATATTGAGAAAAGCTCTACTAGTTTCGAACCACACAGGGGTTCTTCCTCATGAGCAGCGTGCGCGGACGCGGCGACGTCGCGTAGCCTACTGGTTAGTGTTGGCCTGCATTGCTGTTGATGGTTGCGTTGCATTCAGTATGTCTCACGATAGTTATCATGTTCTGTCTAAAACCTATCTAGAAGCTGATTTTTGGATAATCAAATGAGAGAACTAAGTTTTGGGTTGTCCTTGTATTAAAATTCCCTAGAAATCTATAGGACTACGCACCAGACAACCGTGATGCGTGTGGGAAAAATACGAAGGAATGTATTTAGCAGTAGATTAGTTTAATTTGAAGCAACCTTTATGTGTGGTCTTTGGTGAACGTAAACCAGGGTGTTTGCGCGCGATTTAGAACCTTCACATCACAACAGATCCGATAGAAGACCCACTAGGTTCAATTTACAGCCGTCTGGAGGCACTTTCTACTACTGCAGCTCGGTTTGGAGCAGGACAAAGAATAGTGTGATTTTTAGTAAGAGTGATATTTTCTGTTGCCAAGGCATTATAACCCGTTTGACAATTTTCTCCTTTAAACAAAAGCCTAACCAAAAACATTCCCCGCTCTTGCAAATTATACCATACTAAGTACACAAAAGAGAATCGTTTCGGATTCCATAAAAAGTCATTGATTTTATATTGAGAGTCATTTGGATGAAAATCGAGGGCCATTTGTATGGTTACGAATTCTTTTCCGAATAATTTATTGAAAGCTTTACCTGTTAGTATGGAGAATTGCTTACTTTTTGTTCAAATACCTTATTGGCGATTAAAGAGACTGTTTCACTGTAACTTGGGAGTTCTAGGAACAGTAAATAACGATGGTAATGTGATTTTTGTTTCGTTAAGATAAGTTGTTCAGTTCTTTTTATTCTTAAATGCTTGTAGACTTTGTAGTGTATCTGGTCTAAATTTCGGGTCGATTAGCTAGAAGAGACACAAATTTTTGTTTTTTAATCTTTTTTATTTTTAACCTGTTCCATGACCGATAGCGAATTAAGGGGTACTAGCGGCCCGCTTCCGCTTCGTTTGGGTCCAACCTTCTCGCTATCAAAGGGTCACTTTTTCCCAATCTTCACCTCTTCTTTTCTGATATTTTCTTTAATATAAACCTTCTCCTGACAGTAACAAACACAACAAAAAAAAAATACCAAAATTGGTCCAGGCGTTGTTGAGTTATGCGCTTACCAACACATTTTGAGATCCATTTTTATATATATAGTATACTACCTCTTACCCTACTCTACCTACCCTTCTCTACCTGTCCTACTCTACCTACCCTACTCAACCTACCCTACTCTATCCTATCCTATGTCCTTCTCCTGGCTCTAAACTACCTCCCTGTCAATTTTCAGCTAGATCGGTTCAGCCGTTTTTGAGTTATAAGTGGAGTAACTAACACGACTTTCTTTTATATATATTTTGTATACAGATATATTACTTCAGATAATTTTATGCCTACACATATTTAGAAAGAAATAATCGAATGGTAACTACACTTTTTGATTTCACTTTTAAAGTTCAATGTATGTTATTCAATATGAAATAAAAAGTAATCTGATTTAAATGCTGATAAGTTTTATATTTTGTTAAAAGACCTTTCAGTAAACCTCTTAAGGTTTCAAGTAATATATGTTTTTCTCAGAAACAACTTAATTTTAAAGGTATAATAAAAATTAAACTCCCAATTCAAACAGTGAAGAACAGAAAAAATAATAATCTTCTTTAAAAATACTTATAAAGAGCGAAAATTATTATTTTTAAATGAATGAAAATGCATTCGCGAATAACGAGTTTTGAAATTCAAGCCGTGTAATTTCAGGGGACGCTGTGTAAATTGGCTGAAAAGCGCTGTAAAAGAATTTTTAAACATTTTACCCACTGGGGCTTTTTGTTGTGTTTAGTAACACAATTTTTGCATATGATGTATGTTTGTTATTCTTTAACGCGAAAACGGCTAGACTAATTTGGTCGAATATTGGTATGTGGATAGGTGAGACCTTAGATTACCGCATAGGCTGGTAGGCCTGCAAACGAGCAGACGTAATAATACCCGTTACACCAGAGGAGTTACAAGTGCGTTGCCAGCCTTTTAGAATTCGGAATCGGGGAGGAACGGGGGAAAAGAAGGAATGGGCCTCCGTTAACCATACTCACACGGCGAAACATCACGCTATGGTTGTTTCACGCCGGTCGAGCCAACCCATTCGTGCCGAAGCTTGGCTCTCCTTCACATTTTAATGAACACTTTGTTGCAATCTATACTAATATTATAAAGAAGTAAAATTTTTAAGTTTGAAAGTTTGTATGTTTGTAAGTTTGTTTGTTTGTAAGTTTGTATGTAGGGGGTAATCTTTGGAACCGCTGGTCGGATTGCCAAAATTCTTTTACTGATAATTAGCTACAATGTTCCTGAGTGCTATAGGCTATAAAACATCACACTACGATTAAATGGAGCCGTGCAGCGGGTGCAAGAAAAGCTAGTCTAGTAACATACTGTTGCCATCTATAATAATTCTTTTGTTTGATAAATATTTATGTACGTATACAGAACACACAACTCAATCTACCCCTCTAACATACGGTAGGCGATATGTTATAATTACCGACATACTGATAAGCTCTCCATTGTTCTTGATACCAGCTCGAGGCATGACAACGTCAGTCCCTGTTTCCAATATAATCTCCGGTCTGCGTTAATTATTAACTGCTACTTTGTTGAAGATTTGCGATGCAAGTTGGTGATATTGTAATTGTATTTTTCTTCAACAGTGACTATCGTGAGAAATACCAAATTTATTGAAAATTACGACTTAGTCTATCAACTAAGCAAAGGTCGACTAGTTTCAAGTTGCAACGGGACTCACATTCACGAGCGGCGTGTCTGCGACTGGACTGACAATCGGTTACGGGACGCGACGTTTTGACGTTTCAAAAGTACCTATTTATGGTTTAGTTGGAATAAATTATTTTGACTTTGACGCGTTAAGAGTTCCGTTGTAACACGAAACTAGTAGACCTTTGCTTAGATAATTCTTACAAACATAAAACAAAAACAAACATTTTATGAATGAAGGTCGTGGTGGCCCCGAAGTTTGCGTGTGTTTTGCCCGCACTACAAAGGTAAAGAGTAGCCTATCTATACTAATATTATAAAGACGTAAAATTTGTCAGTATGTAAATTTGTAAGTTTGTATGTAGGGGGTAATCTTTTGAACCGCCTGTCGGATTGCCAAAATTCTTTCACTACAATAGGCTATAAAACATCACACTATGATTAAATTGAGCCCAGCAGCGGGTGAAACCGCGCGAAATTAGCTAGTATTATGATATTTTGACCTACAATCTATCTAAGCGCCAAATTTCATTCAGACCCGTCTTATAGTTTAGTATCGTAGTTTTTACGTAAAAGAGTAACAACCATCCATCCGTTCTAACAAGCTTTCGCGATTATAACATTTGTTGGGTGTTCACAATATCTTTGGGATATACATACATATATAATATATACGTATGTTATACACGTATCTACCTCTTCATCAAAAGCGCGTTGTTTGATGCTGTCTTCATATTTATTTCCCTTTTGACGTTTCACATCTAATGAAGGCGCCGAGCGACTCAGTGAATTTTGAGTTAACCCGCTTTGTAAGCCCATTCATTATCTTCACTTAATTAGAATCTAATGGAACGTCTTTGATTATTACTTATTAACGTAATAAGGTATTCTTATTGAAAAAGTTTGTTTTTAGAAATATTTTTGGCAGTGATGGAAATATTTTTGTATTTAGTGTGGTAGAGCCAAGCTTTTGACTGGATTGATACCACAGTCTTATAATGCCGGTAGATATTGATGTTAAATCACCATAAATTACACACATTTGAAACTAGAATCTTTCTTTTATAAGTCACGGCCTCAAAAAATACCGTCGTGAAACAACTACAGCGTTGTGTTTCACCGTGTGAGGGAGGTTACCGGAGGCCCAATCGTTCCACTCCTCCAATCCGTCCCCAATCCTAAAATATCCTTATCCCTAATCCCCAAAAAGTGGGCGACAAACTTATAACTTGTGTTGTTGCGGGCCTCCATGGGCGGCGCTGGTTGCTTACCATCGTGTAATCCATGAGCTCGTTTGCCGACCTTTTACATAAAAATTACTATCACATACTTTTATAATATTTCGAACAACGCCAACGACCTTGATTAAGATATGATTATTATAAACCTTTGAAGATATAATGTTATCTTGTTAAATTTACTGTAGGTACTAAGTCTACTGTACCATCTCTCTTAAATCTTTATTATGATTTTCTAACTTAATTTTAGTTTATAGAAAACATTTTATAATTATTCTTTTTTGGGTCAAAATCTGTCTATTATTTCTTATCTTTATAACAAAATATCGAAAAATATATATTTAATTTTTAATTTTGGCTACAAATAAGGATCAATTTCTTTTCATTTTAGATGCTTTTTGTTCGGTCTCAATAGTATTTGAAAATCAGTGCTTAACACTTCTGTGCCATGAAATAACTAACAAAGCCGTTTGTATCAGTCTTTTTTTTTGGTAGAAGATCAACGTTGCATCGAATCATTGTGTCATTCTTCTAACTGAACATTCGTCAATCATTATCTTCACTATCACCCCAAGCTTATAAAGTTACCACTTCTGGTGACACCTTTCTCTTTGACACGAAGAAGGTATAAGTATTAATTACCACACTTAAACAAGGAGATTTCAAACTTATAAGTAGAAATTATAAGTTCAGGTTTTCTTAGAAGGTTTTCCTTTATTGGTTTGTATGTGGTGTCTAAATACATTTTTTTTTATTTAATAGGTCGGAAAACGAGCAGACGGATTACCTGATGATAAGCAATCAGCGCCGCCCATGGACACTCGCAACGGAGGAGTTATGAGTGCGTTGCCGACCTTTTAGGGATTAGGGATTTAGAGATTCAGGGATTTAGGAGGGATTGGGGGACGGGAAGGATTGGGCCTCCGGTAACCTCACTCACACGGCGAAACACATCGCTGTGGTTATTTCACGCCGGTTTTCTGTGAGGCCGTGGTATCACTCCGGTCGAGCCGAACCATTCGTGCCGAAGCATGGCTCTCCCATACTTGCAATACATATACTTAGGAAGTACATACAACTCGGAAAAGGACACATTGATACTTACAGGTTTTGAATCCATAATCTGTTGCTTGGGAACTGGGTGCCTTATCCTCCGCGCCTCCACAAACATTATCTGCTTTGACCTTTCTTTATCTCTATTGTTTTATTATTTTTTTGATCCTAAAAAACCCTTCACGAGTCACCCAAGCTCTTCTCTCATTTTTATTACCTTAAATTATAAGTAATAATCTTAAAATGGCTTTCACAAAATAATTTTTAGTAAAACGTTTGTAAGATAATTTTAAATAAAGCTCATACGAATTTCTTGACAATTTCATAATAAGATTTTGCGCGTGGCTTATTTCTGTGGCCAGTGTAGCGTGAACTATAAACGCCTTGTTGGTTTTTAATGAAGTGGGTTCAATTTATTCTGGTATAAAGTTAGAAAATATAGTAGCGTTGTTTTTCAGTGTGAAAGTATTCAACGTGTTAAATGTTTGGTATTTGATTTCAACGTCGTCCTACACTTAAATACTAATGAATAATGCATGGAAATTAAATAAAGTTTCTAAATATTTTTATTGTCCTGCGGATTTCAACGCTAAGGATACAACCACATGTTGGGTTGAAGAACGCTATGGAACCGGGTGATTTTATTCAATAAATGACAATCAGCAGACGCAGGAAGGAGGTTTTAGGCAAGACGCTAAAATTAACTAATCTCCTGTTAAATCTCTTGTTAAGTCATCTGATTGGTTGTTGATGATTCCGTCAACCAATCACAATACTTGACAAGAGATTCAATTGATTTTAATATTGATCGGCCTTTCGGTAGCCGAAGGTTGCACTCACTCTAACCTCGGCATGGATGACGTAAAATAAAACAAAACATCACTTGATATTTTAATAATTTATGTTTCTGTGTTGAATAAATGATTTTTACTTATATACCAAATAATTTGACTAGATGTAGCTACAGCCACAGACATCGTACACTTTTGGTAACACCGACTCAAATATCAGACTCTTTAATCTTTAAAAACAAAATCAATCACGCGTCCACATAAAATTTTCATTGATTAAATTTGAAAATGATTTTAAGTATCGAATTAAAAACATCTGCGATCTACGATTATATTTTTATAACTTTTTTATTGATACTTTGCCTTTTTGATCTGGGATTAAAAAGATAACAAAGACATAACTTTTAAGCCGATATCAATCAAATAGGATTTCTTTTAGAGCCTTTGCATAACATTAGGCTTTTATAGAGGTAGACACTGATGTATGGCAGAATAGCCTCTTTTGTTATAATTTTATTAATGTGTTTTACGGTAGTTTTATTAACTTAAATTCAAATATTTACAAACATCAATAAACCCTAATTTTGAATCCTCTCAAATAATGTTTTTCCTCTCGTTTTATGTGTGTCGTTGGGCCACTGCCCAACTATAACGAGCAACTTACACTTAAGTTGCTCGTTATCAGTTGATTATTTCGCTTGTTTACCACCTAAACACTAAATTATTAACAGTTACCAGGATTATCAAATAAATGTGTAAGTAAAATAGTTCGAACAAAATTGGTCCAAAAATCATTCCTTGCAGAACCCAGTTGAATAACAGTATAAAATCTGATAAAATCGACCAAAAGATATATTTTTTCTTTAATCAGACTTTAAGTACCAATTAATTGTGCTGAAAAAATAAATAAGAGACACATTAACAAATAAAAAGTTAAGCAATTTCAGTAATGTCACTCGAAAGCTTATCCATTGTCTATTTGTCATAAGAAATTTAATTGCTCCGTCTATTTTCGTGTTCAAATTTGTAAAAAGTGCTAAAGAAAAAATAACATTTACGGCTTAAGCTTAACTTAATAGAGTTTATCTTAAGTAATCCTTGCTAAGGTTAAAATGGCATTTACGAAAACAGCATCCAACAAATTTTTAATCGTGATTAATATTCTTACTCTTGGTTTTTACTTAACAACGGTGGAGTTACATTAAAGTTACCAAGGTGACTTGTTTCTTTAAATACTTCGATAAAATATTTGCAATTATTAAAAGGAGTTCAATTATACACATCTAAGTTTTATAATTTACCAGTTCTGTAAGGATTACTTAGGCTCGAGAAATGAGTCGTGTCAATATGCACAGCTTGAAAGTTCTTTAAAAAAAGCAGAATCGCAGTTTCTTCACGTTATAACTTTGATGTTACGCCTGTTAACTGTTTGATGACGAACTCGACTAGTTTCTAGCCACGCTAGGAGCTTATAAGCAGCGGCATCGTGCAGCTAACTGACGTTCGCCACGTCGTGTATCCAAGACGTGTATCCTTTTCATGATGGAGGATGGAATCATTAAATGACTCCTCTCGTCCTGGGTGGGACGAGGGAGTGTCAGACTCTTACTGACTAAAAACTACTACGTTCCTTCTCCTACTCGTGACTGAAAACGCGGTATATTTTTGCGCTTGACCTGAAATCATGAATATGAAAACCGTAGTGTAAGTTTTGCTATTCCCGCAAGATGTGAGAATTTTAATCTTCTGACTCCACACTCTACGTGGAGTACCCCTTTACCTGTGTGTGCCTACTACAAATTTTAATGTATCATCGTTTGTAATAATAATAATATCACTAAAATATTTCCATGTTTTGTTTCAGGTAACGCCGAATTCAATTATAAAGGGTACCAAAAATACAAGGTATATTGTAAAAATCCTCATATGATCCAATTAAAATTCAATCCGGTTGTAATTCGTGAGTTATGACAGTTGTCGGTGAATTTTTTTAAATATATTTTTATCGTGTTTCTGCCTATTGCTTCAGCTGGATCAACGGTGTTAGACCTTTGGTTTGGAATTTTGTTCTTAATTAACAAAATTCCAAACCAAAACCACCCATAACCCATAACCCAAAACCACGAGGTTTTGGGTTTAAAATAGGCTTTAGATAAATAAGTATTTATTTAATAAAATCAACTATGAACTTGTGTTCCTTTGGTAGATGCTATGGGTATTCATAATCAGTCTGATCAGCTGATTTAACAGCTGTCTGTTTTAGGGATTATTATAGGGATTTTTGGGATTTTCGAAATTGGTGTTTATCAATGGCTTAATCGCCAATAGCGCCATGGATTTTCATTCAGGCCTATAAAACACTAAGGATAAATATATGTCTTAGATCTAGCAAGGAAATTAATCAGGAGATATTACTTAAGGAGGCGACAAAAGCAATTGCATAGTAGACTTATCAACTCGTCGTTAACAAGTTATACTACATGCACAAAATCACATTTTGTACCAGTCTTTGTACCATCGATAGAACATCTCCTACCCCTCTGCCTACCCTCGAAACGGTACTCGTAACATCACAGCCCTGATTTGCATGTCACAAGCAGTAATTTATTCACTCTTGAAGACAGATTAACAGTGTTTCTCAAGATAAAAGAAAAGATGTTAGCGGATGAAAAACATCGTTTAAATCAAGAGTCTGTGTTATATTTTATATAATTATGTGTAAGTATATTATAATTCCTGGAAGAAATTATTACTTATAAATTCATATAAAATTACAATTTTTCATTGCAAAACGTGTAAGTAGATTACACAAATAATGCAATTCCATACCAATACCTTAAAACGAACATTTATCTCAAAAATATAACCTGATACTTTAAGGTTATAAGTAGAGAAACCACTAATTTTCCAACCCAATGATATTACACGTAAAAAGGTGTAGATAGGCTACAAACGCTCAGCAAGTGATACATTAAAATGTGACTAACTAGCCACACTTTTTCATACTTGTCTCTTTTTCACTCGCGATTATTGAATCATGCCATCCCACTTTAACGTGTATCATACGATTTATTCATGTGTACATAAGTGTGCCGTTTTTGAAAATCGAATTTTGTTTATGTAACCTATCTATACCATTTTACTTATAATATCATTGTTCCAACCAGTACTATTATAGCTCAATGTTATCAACCTTGAAGATGAACGATAACGCAGTAAGGTCCAATCGACCAAGCACGTGAGGGTTAAATATTAAACCTCGTAAAAGTTTAGTGTAGGGTTATGGTGTTATGAAATAGGAGTTTTAGAGAGCTTTGCTAGTTAGGTAATGAAGGTTTTGGAAATTAAGCTCATGAAGAAGAAGGAATCTCTTATTGAGGGGGCAAATTAAATCATCCAGTAATTGCTCTCACCTTACGCAATTTCAGATAGTTGCCGAAAGGGTTGCCTTTCCTTTAAGACGGGATCAGTGGCAACCTTTTCTGTCAGAGAAAAATCATCAAATAACTTCTCCCACCGAGGGTAAGGAGAGAGATTGTCAGACTCTTACTAACTAAAAACCCCTATTCTTTCGTCTGCTCAAGGCCGAGGCCGCGAATGATTGCGCTTGCTCCGCAACCGCGGCAGTGAGGACCGAAAAAAGGAACAAAATAAGTGCTAAATAAATGAAATAAGTGAAAAGTACTTAAACCACTGCCTAGTCCCTCGTGAGGTTATAATATTGAAAAAAAAAATCAAATATCTTTCTGAAACTGGTAAACAAATATTTTCCATTCAAGTCAGTTTTAGTGTTTTTTTTTTTCATTTTTGGCTCAGTACTTTCAATTTATTTTCATTTGGACAAACACAGACAAAGTTTCAGTCTTAAAAGTATAGTTTGTAATGGTCTAAAAATTTCTCTATCTTAAAATATTCACGGCTGAAACTGCAACTGAAGTTTTCAGTGGCAGATCCTTTTTATACCGCTCTCTTCTCTAAAATAGAAGTGCCTTGGCTTACTTTCTAGCAGTGCAGTGT